GTGTGGAGCCATGGCAAAAAAAAAAAAAAAAAAAAAAAAGCAAAATGACCGACTTTGCTGGGAATTAACACTGAATTATTTGTAGCAAAGGCATGGGTATGTTTACAGGGGAGCATGAACAGTTTCACTTTAAGTAGCAAAGCGAAACCGCGCTGGGTTACTCCTGCAGCCAAGCCCCAGGTTTATGGTGGCACCCTGCTCTCGGTGTGCTCCAAAACACGTTTCTCTTCCCTCGCCGTGCCCCAGGGCAGGCAAGTCCCTTCAGCTCTAGGGCCCAGGAGTGACCCTGGCTGGAGGGGATGGCCTCAGGCTGGAGATGAAGATGAAGGCTGTCAGCTGAAACCCGCTTTGCCCCAGCAACACTCTTCCTCTGCTGCAGCTCATGGCCTGACCCCGTTCCCTACTTTCTCCCTGTTTCTTGGCAGGGACTTCCCAAGTCTCTTGCCAAGATAGGGCCAGAGCCCAGAAGAGGCACCAAGCGTGGACTCCTGCCTCTGTTCAGTTTCAGTCAGCTTGGAGTGCACAAGTCCTGGTGTAACCCTCCCCTTCCAACCCTTGGCTGGCTGAAAGAGTTGCATCCTGTGGCACCTGCTGCCCCAGTCGTTTCAAAGTGAGCAGGAGCTCCTGTTCTGGCTACAACAGTCCAGCTCTCAGCAAAAATCTTCCTTAGGAGAGCGATACAGAAGTTTTTCTCCTTTGAGAGATTTAATTCTAAATATGTAATACTGTATTTAAATTTTGTAATAAAATGTGCCTGAAAGAGGGTTGTGGTTGTAGATCTAATTTCTGTGCAGCATTTAGAGTTCTCATGTACTTAATAATGATGTAGCTGCTCTTAAAAATCAACATTCAAACTTCCTGGAGGCACAAGCAAAACTTGTTGCTGCAAGTGGAGCGTGTCTGCAGTACACTGAGGGGGAGCTGAGTCTCAGGTCTCCAACAACCAAAATCCAACCCTGACAGAAGACCACGCAGCCGGCGAGGCACCTGCTGGCCCAGCCCTGCTTGTGACACAGAGCACCGGATACGAAGGCACCAAGAGAAGGCAGGAGGGCTGTCTGCTTGCAGCTCTGCAGGGAAAACAACCCTCAAAATTACCTTACAAAATGCCCTCGCCCAGGCACCGTACCCACCCCTCTGTCTCACCCAGGAATAAGCAAATGAGATTTTGCTCCTAGGTAAAGCACATGTACCAGCTGCCCTGTGAAAGGAGGAGCACACTGTAAACACAGCGTGAAACACCGGGAAGTGCTCGGCTTTGTTAAATAAATTGATCTGAAGTTGAGGGGGGAAAAAAATAACAGACCCCAGCTCTTAATCTCCTCTCCCAAAGGCAGATGCTGCCTGCAGGAGTGGCCAGAGCTGCAACCATAACCAGCGAGCAGGGCGGAGGCAGACGGCAGCAGATGGCAGGTTCAGGATATGCAGATTTTGGCTTTAAACAAAAAAAGCAAAGAAAGGTGAAGAGTGGGATTGAATGTCCACTGGATATGGAGGAAAACGCCAGACCGAGCCAGTTTCAGGCAGTATTTATTGAACAAACTCGTACAGCAGCGTCCTGCCCTGCACTATGGGTCGGGACCTGTGTCTAACCTGCACTATCAGAAACTCAGGGGTTGGAGACATGGTGGGGAGGTTGCTCCAGAAAAGGCATACCTACAAGGGATTGCATTGCTTGGTTCTACAGTAATTATGCTTAAAATCTTTTCTTTTTGCTGAAGCAGGGGAGATCAGCTAATATTTGCAGTATTTCTTACATTCACAGCAGAGATTTTTGTAAATACATTAATTTGTTTTCCTAACCAGCACCACTTGCTCTGGCTGTTAGGAAAAAAACCATGACTGGGATGGCAGAGAGGCACCCAGGAGGAGAGGCTGGACACCCCAAGGTGGTGCTGTCTGGGTATCTACCAGCTTGATCGAGCGACAGCGTTCTGTGTTTCTTTTTTATGACAATGACCCCTGAGCACAGACGCAGGCATCACAGCCAGTTCGGGCTGCAAACGCTCTCCCGGCATCAGTGCCGAGGCACATCAAGAGTTCTGCACAATGATGGGGACAGTAGAGGAACTCCTGCGTTTTCCCGGGAAAGCCAGTTCACTCAGTGGCTGGTTCCCATGGTTACTGCTACTCCTGCCCTCACAGAGTTCCTGGATAAGGACTTTGCGTGGTAAAATCAATGTGAGCTTTTCATTTCCTGAGAAAGACCATCTTCAAATGCAACCAAATGATTTTTCTGGACACTAATTAATGAAATTCAAACCTCATGATGAACCACGCATTTATTATTCCAGCCTACAGCGAACCTCACAAGCCTTCTCACTTCCCAACAGCATGAAGTGTCAGCAGAGGGTTGCGCTTCAGGGCACAGCGGGAGCCTCTCCTCCCCGCAGAAGGTGATAGGGCTGTCCTATGGCATCCGGCACAAAACCACAGCTCAGCAGCTCGCATCCCCTCTGCATCCCGGGTCAACAAGAGGAGAAGGTTGATGTGCAGGAATCTACGCCTTCCACCCCAAACGCAGCTGCACCACGTGAGGGATCCCTGCAAGCAGCCGACCCATACCAGCCTCCCCACGCCTTCAGCTTCAGGGTGCATTGGACCTGGCAGAAAGACCATCAGGAGAGGCAGAATCCAATACCCGAGTCCATTCCCGGGGCACCTTTAGTACCCCAGAGGTTGGGCCACACCAAGTTCACATGCCGGCAGGAGTGAATTTCTTTTTTCAGATGGATTCCAAGTTTAGCGTTCACCTGGATGCTAATCACAGCTTTACTCCTGGAGCTCTGCAGGAACCTTCAGGTTTCTCCTTGCGGCCTCCAATCACACCTTCAAGCGAGGAGGAGTTTTGGTGACCAACACAAAACATGTTTGAGTTTCCCCCGCCATACATAACAAGTACGTTAGATGTGTGTCATATTCAACATCCAGAAGCAGAGACCAGATGAGTTTGAGAAAAAGCAGTGGGGTTTTTTGGTAAAGCTTGTCTGAAATGCAAAGTGCAGACGCATACTTGCTTTGGTCCTGTTTGCTCCAAAGGATTCCTTACCACTAACATTAAAGCATTTCCACACCTCTCCTACCATTTACTGTTGTTGTCTGGGTTTGCCCTTTTGTTTTTCATTGCCTAAGTTTTACATAGATTTAGCTTTGGAACATACAATATATTCATCTTTCTTAGCTCCTCAAAACAGTTCTTTGAAAAGGCACTTACACAAAAATATTTACTAACTATGAAGTAGAAAAAAAAATAAATATATTTGGCTTGCAAATAAGCATGGTTTTCTTTACCTGCTTATCCCAGAAAATACAGCCGAGATGCTAGGTCAAATTTTCCTCCCACCTGAGTGCAGCGGGGCTTGTGAAGGTAAATGGACTCCTCCAAGGCCATGCAGACAGGCCAGTTCACCGCAGACTGAAAAGGCAGGATCCTCAGATCAATAACTGCCTTTTCTACTGCAGGCTCTTTAGGAGAGGGGTTTGGAAGAGATGTTGGTTTTACGGCAGTACCATTTGTACTCGAACCTCATGTTCAACGACAAAAATGTGGACATTTTAGTTCCAAGTACATCATTTTACCCGGTAACACCCTGCAATTAATGTAGCCACAAGAATTTTGATTCTTCTTGCAGTACTGCAAGTCTTTAGCTACTGGAACCGTTACTTCTTCAGGGAGTGTTTTATGCACCGACGCACTGTTCAGCACATGTCTCTGACCTCACAGTTTCTTTCACAGCTCTTTGATGCTACCAATGAATATTTTAAATGTATTTTAAAAGACACTCAGTAACAGCAGCCACAAGTTTCCCATCATTGGTCAGGGCCACCTTTTCAACAACTGAAATACAGCATCGTGACCACTTTTTCACGTGGAGCATCTGTGTACTCAGAGGTTCAGTTTAACACAGATGTCAGCTAAGCGATAAATACATCAGGCCTTTGGAGAAAAAAGCCTAACGAATATATTTGGTGTTTGTACAGCGCATCCATTTACCAGCAGCCCACGTGGATACCAACATACTCTACCCTGGCAGTCATTCTGAGCATGCAGGTCAGCTCAGACTGTAGCACTCGGTGTCCCAAATCATTCCCAGTGAAATGGCACATTCGAGCTTTTCCCTCCAGAAACACCACATGTGCATATTTCAACCTACATCTTCGGTCACCCCTTTCTGCCTTGCCCTTAGTGTCCCCAAGCAAACCCTGAAACAAGAACAAGCTCTTTCAACACAGTTCGCTGATGTGTTCTACTCCTAAACAGAGAGGCGAGAAGTGCGTACGGGCCGGTGCTGCCCACAGCCACACTGCGCCACTGTGGAAAACACGGTCCTGCTGGACAGCAGCAAGCTGAAAGAAGCCCACTGCTACAGAACTGGTCGTATCCCATGTTGGGACTGTAAAGGGCCGCTTAGTAGATGGAGGAGAAAGGAGCTGTGCTCATTCGGTGGGTGTTGCTTGAATCCCTCCCAGCCCTCAAGGAGCATTCGGGAACCCCCACACCAAGGTGCGCAAAATCCCCGGCTTCTCTGCCTCTCCCCAGCTGGAGGAAGAGTCTCCCGCCACCACTGACGACACCTGGAAGGTGCTGCTGTGCTCTGCCTATAGATGAGCAAGGCGGTGGGGACAGACCACAGCCCAGCACAGAGCTAACCGAGCGTCTGGGTCACATCCCATCCTCTCACCTGAACGTCTACGGCAGAGTCCAATTTCAAGCGCAGTTCCGCACGGGGGTCCTCAGACACACACCTAACAGCCATCAACAACAGGTAATTTGGCACCAGAGGCTATGGGAACACAGATCTTGAAAGGAAGGCCTCACATTTGAGAAGCAGGTCAAAAAGTGGAATTTCTTCCGACTAAAATCCCAGCACTCGAATACAGAACCAGTTACCCAGCCTCAAAACAGGAGAGCTCCTGAAAGAAGTCAGGAGAGGGAAAACTAGGGGAACGTATCCACGCCTAAACAACCCATTAGGAGTATCAAATCACGGTGTGATGACTTACGAGTTTTTCTCTGTGGTGTCCTGCACCTTGGCAGCAGTCATCTGAAACTGCGGCACGTATGGTGCAATGGCTTTATACTTAAGGCTACTTTGGATAAACACATTGAAGTTAGGTGGTGTGGGCTGAAAACACCCCACATCTTCAAGCAGATCGGTGGTACGGAACTGACACGTCACCCCGGAACTTTCTGTTAAAAAAATGTCACTTTCTCTTTTCTCCAGTGATGTTATCCCCAGGTAACACAGGCTCCGCTCAGGACTATCTCTGTCCGTGAAAGGGTCATCCTGGTCTAAAGGCTCTGAAAATCCCTCTGAAGAGACAAGGGAAAGGGCAAGGCGCCGCGCAGAGCGGCGAACGCGCAACACAAGGACCATCCCATTTCCCACCTCCCAAGAGCTACTTGAGAAGATGCCTGTAACAAAGGGATCTTCAGCTAAGAAGCATCTATCAAAACAATTTCTGAGATTCATTTTCTGTTCGTAAAGCCCACTTGATCTGGAGTTACTGATAACAGTAGCGTATTTGATATCGGACTGCCTTGTAACTTCTCCACTGATCCGGTCATCGTGGGAGCTCTCGGAGAAGCTGCTACTATTGAAATGGCTGCCAGAGCAAGCAGAGTCACGTTCAGAGTCTTGAATTTTTGTAAACATTGAATCAATTACTAAAAGATCTTGTGTGTCTTCTTTCTTCAATGCTTTAGTAACACTGATGTCTTCCAGCACTATTTCTGGTTCCAGAAGAAGAGGTTCAAATGACATTGCTTCAGGGTGCTTGATAAAAAGATGCTCAAAAGTTTCAGGCTAGAAGAAAAGATATATTTTAATGCTCATCTATTAATTAACAGCTTTAGTTCAACATGAAGCTACTGATTTTAAGAATCACAGACCACCTCCCCTAGTTTTAGTATAGCCAAAAATCCTCTACAACACATCTCCTCTTTTCTTTGTCTCTGCATGCAGGTGAGGACTGAGGGACAAGACAAAAAAGCGAGAACCTGTTGGTGTGTCAAGTGCTGCAAAGCGAGCGTTCTGTGAAGTGCTCAGCACTAGAGCCAAGAGGGTGTCATTTGAGCTGAAACAGAAGCAGCTTAAATTCATTTCACCATTAATAAACACGCAGGTATTGTTAAAGACACATGCAAGTGCTTTGTAAGACAAAAGTCTTACACCCTTAGATGTCTTTGGCTTTTTATTTAGACTGTATAGAGAACAAAATTATCATTTACATGTCAACTAAAGTAACTTTCCCTGCTAGGGTTTTATTATGTAGGGTCAAGTTGAGCCCTTCCAAAGGCTGCTTAGAGCATTCCCATCTGAAGAGCAGCCGTATGTTTGAACTGCACAAAAAGAAACGCACATTTATTTTGGAGAAATTCACACTTTACTGCTACCTCATATATGTGCGTGTAAAATAAACAATAGCATAAGCTGACAGCAACACTGGAGCTCCTAGTTACAGAGGAAAATTTGCTTGAAAAACACCTATTTCCTAATGAATTCAAGACAAAACGAATAGATTAAAACCCCCACATTTTGTGTATATTAACAAACCGTATTTTAGAGCAGGAAAGCTGCCAAAACAACCAGGAACATGTCAAAATACTTAGACTAGTGTACAATTATAGAAGTGAGTATACTAACTTGTGTGTCTTAGGCTACAACTTTAGTCTAGATTACCTATCAGTGATGCTGATGCCCTCACGCGGCAAAGCTGGCAAGCAGGTTTTTAATGGCTTTGGTACTCGCCCCACACAGGTCCGTCACCTTCCCACACCAAAACCAACCTGCACGCTGGAATCTCTCTTAGTCTTCAACATAACATCCATTAGCCAGCAGTGGAGATGAGCTGTACGCTGCTACGATATCGTAGGCATCAAGCCGTACCAATTGTACCTGTACTGCCTGATGAAAGCTGTCTTCCCCCTCACAGGTTTGCTCCAACGGGCACAGGAACACGGGCACGGCTGCACTGAAGCAGCCTGACAGCCTGTTTGGTGTGTATTGCCCACAGTGGCGTTTTCAAATGGGAGACGTGTGTTAATGGGAATCTTTTGAACAACCAAACCCCACCCTGATACACTTGCCCTCCTGCAGCTGCCTTATCCTGGATGGAGATGGGTTATATTCCTCCCCAAATCCGCCTGCTCCCTCGCCCCAGCTCCTGGTATCTGCTTGTATAAAGGCATGTAGGTAGCATAAGAAACACACAGGTAACATTGCCTGCAAAGGTTAAATACAGCACATTCAAAGAGAGGTCTGTTGTTTGGCAAAGGCCACCATCTGTCAACTCAGACACATCACTTATTAAAACACATCAGATATTTAATCAAATACAATGCATCATCCAACACCCTGAGAAAATGACAAACTATAGCAGATCAGCAATTACAGAGCAAGCTGGGTGACCAGGACTGCCTTTCCACAGTATACGCACGTGTAGTGTCGTCTGGGCACCAACTGGGTTAAATGAGAGGCAAAGTGGCTCCGTAAAACTCCGCAGAAAAGTCGAGAGTCTCGGGTCACCTGTTCCCAGACTCTGCTGACCAGATGCAACAAGATCCAACCGAACAAGGAATGCCAAGCAACACCGTATTTCGCTCTCCTGTTTTCACTCTAGGCTTTAGGTTCTACTTGCCTCACAAGCAGTAGAGCACCTCTGAGCTGTAAGCCACTTGCCACACCTGAGCCAGGTTAAAGTCAAAACCACCTCACACTCAAGTTGCTAAACACAGATATATCCCAATAAGCTACTGGCCTAGCTCTGCCATGACCAGATTTTTACTTTCACATGTATTTAACTTGACCCACTGCAAATCAGCCCGTGCACGTAGCAGGGTAATTTAGCTACATGTGAGTCTCTGCATGATTGATATTAATTTCCCTGTAAAATATTTGTAGTTAGGTTTAATTCACTTCTCCAACATTAAGTGCTAAAGCTTTTTGATTTTTATTTACTGTTTTATTGAACAAATAAGAGGACTTTTTAGGATTTTGACATGCATACATGTAAAGGCTTGCAAGACAGAGTCTAGATGCAAGGCTTGCCTGGTTTAGATTATTATTTTAAGCTCTTGCTGCTGTGAGCAATACAATCAGGATGAAATAATACTTGAGAAATTGAGCTCTGGAGCACCAAATACCACACGTGCTATGTTGAACGTACAAAGTAATAATTGGATGTTGTCTTGAGGATTTAATATCGATATGTACCAGGACAAGACAGGAGTTCTACATCAAATGCCTTCAGAAAGACTTTAGAACTTTCCAGCGGTGGTACATAGGCTATTTATGCCATCGATGCTTATTACAGCTAAGGAAAAATACCATATTTGTATTTTTCCACTTTTTCTACTGGAAATTCCATGCATACATACAAAAGCAGGATTTGGCCCTAAAAACACCATTTCAAATGTGTTCTGGCCTTGGACACTCATGAAGTGAGCGAGCGATGACTGTGCTGATCTGAGGACAGGCACTGTGCCTTACAGTGCGATTAACATTAAGCAACGTTTTTCAGTCCGATTAGTACAACGTACGCAAGAGGCATGCTTTGTGCTGCATAACAAGCTGTCAAAAACCATGTCAAACTTCAATTCCTTTCATATGTGCATGCATCATTTCTTTCCCATTAATTATGGAACAAGGCATATGAATAAGGAGCAGTATCGCCAGGGTGTCAGCTTTATCCTCCTTTCCTAGTTAAAACTTCAGCAACTTCAATACACTTATTTCAGCTCTACCCATCAGCGAGGAGAATCATTTCCAACGTGCTAAATCCAACACGCAAACTTCACGCACCTCTGCAATTGGGGACAGCGAGGATGGCCACGAGCTCCTTTTGCTATAGATGAAAAGATTAAACAGACAAATACAGGTGCACCGCTGCCACTTACACTCCTACAATTAAATATTCAGAGATCCCAGCCCTTCCCAGGATGCAGCCATGGAAGCAGACACGTCAGACTGGTCTGGGATTTAACAACCTGCATGAGTAAAAACCACTTTGTTTCCTTGACCAAGCCGGGGGCACAGGCTCTGCTCTCGCCAGCTGATGCGACTGCTGCCACGAGGCCGGAGAACACCCACGCTTCGCTCCGTCCGACCACGGCTGCATTTTCCCCAACAGGAGCTTCATTTAACATTAACACACACAGTGTGGTGCATCAGAGAAGTAAGTACCTTAGCACATTAAAAAGCCACCAAAATAAAAGTAAAAAAAAAATAAGCAGAAACTGCCCTAATACCACCGAATCCAGATTTTCCTTGAGGATTATCGGGCTTGTTTTTTCAAATGCAGATCTAATGTTAGAGATTATTCAGGCATCTGCATTGATGTGGCTGCATGTTTAAATGACAAGAAATGAAGAAGCCATATAAATAACATTTTCAGAAAAAAGCAAGCAAGCAAACAAAAAAAACCCAGTAAGGCACAACACACCCGCCGTTTCTGCATTCCCTGCGTTGCTGCTGCACCCAAGCACATGTAAAAAGTTCAGAAGGCCATAATGGGACCACCAAGCGTTTGTGCAAATAAGAGATTTGATCGCTTTGATGTGCTTGGAGTTAGTGGAAACTCCCAAGCTAGCTCACAGTTAGAACAAATACTCAATTTGAATAAAAACCACTTTCAAGTGAAGTCGGTAACTGGGCAGATCGTGCACTCAAGCTGGATAAATCCCAAATCCGTCTGATGTCTCTGTTTCCAGGGCTGCATCCTAAGAAGGGCTGGGCTCCCTCAACTCCTTTCGAAAGCCAGGGCTTGAAAGTTTCCAGCCCTTTGCCAGTCACAGCCTTAGTCAGTGGGGCAGTAAACAAAAGTGAAAACCACCAAATCTAAAGAAAATGCTTCTGCCTGTGAAAGTGACGAGCCGTGGTTTGGTCTGTAGTATGGCACTGGCTCCTAATTTTTGTGAGGGCATTTGAGATTTTTGATGGAGCTACCTCCAAGATTTATTACATATAAACACATCAGCATTGTATTATATCTGTGCTTCCTGTCTTCTGAATATAAATAGAAAAATCTTCTAACAATTCTATGTAGGAAGCCTGGGAGCTGCCCCAACGGCTCAGCAGGCAGAGGCCATGATTAGACTTCAAAGAATGTCCATTCTCTGTTTCAGTGAAATAAAAGATGGGAGAAGAAACCTTCACTGGGAATGCAAACTAAATACCTGAAAAAAACTTCTATCATTAGATGGTCTTTCTTTTCAAAGCAACAGGCCTGAATTCCGATTATTGTCTCAATGCTTACACACCGTCAGACTCTGGGACCACGAGAAACTGTGTGTACTGGTGCAAACTGGCTATGTCCAGGTAAAGACTCACATGGGTGGGTCAGACCCATGGGGTGGGGAGAAGCAGCATCACCAGGGAAATACACACCTTCTGAAAATTAACTCCTTGTGCCCAGGAGCAGTTCTTGGGGTTTGGAACATCTTCCCAAAACAGTTTCTTCATTCTGAAATATCAGGTAAATTCTGGAGTTGGTACTGTTCTCTGATATTCTGTACTGCTGTCATTCACCTTTGTCATGTCAGAAAAGGAATCTCTGCAATTTTATTTATCCAGAGCACTATGACAATGAAACAATCATTTTAGATATTATACACGGCCAAAATTTAATAGAAAAAATAAAGAAATAAAGAAGTGGTGGTTTTGCAAAATACAAAGGGACAGGCAGTCTTCGCTGATTATGACCCCAACCCATCTTCCACAAAACCTGGAGGGATTTTTTTTCAATTGTTTTCTACTTCAGACCTTCGTTTGTGATGACAATTAAATACTCAACTCAGAGGGCTGTACAAATTCAAAGCGCGTGACACTCGTTAACTTGCCCGCAAGCCAGCGCAGAAGTAAGGAGTAAGTGGCACAGGCCGAAGCGATACTTCCCAGTGAAAATGAACAGCACTGATTCTCATCTTACTGCAAGGACACCAGACCGAAAGGGCAATGCTCTGACAACCACAAGGTAACAAGCCTGTGCACTCAAGACACTTTAATTCTTGGTGCTGTGTTCCACAGAGTCCGCTGCCCTTCAGTACAGTACATCAAACACACGATGAAAATAATTCCTAGCTTTCCTCAGAAAGACCCTGCCCACCAGTTCAGCGGATGGGCATCATCCAAGCTGCACCACCTTCCTCTAAAGGCCTTCTGGGACTTTCATGTGACAATGAACAACTTGCCTTTGGTGCGAAACCAGCAATGCTCCAAGCAACAGAACTGAGGTTGAAATAACTATTGGCAGAACCACGTAGAGGCTGGCATTACTCTCACTGTCATATCCACCTGCAAATAAGAGGAATTCAGACAATAACGTGGTAAAATAATTTCTCTGTGAACAAGTAGTTTGCAATAGAAAAACAACAAACAGTAGAAACAACAGCTTAAACACAAAAAAACTTGTTGCTCATCAACAAACCTTTACCTTGAGAACAAATAGACAAAAAGGAAGGAATTATTTCAAGTACTGAGATGACTCCTCATCCCTGTGGGAGGTGCCCACTGCTCCGTTGCTATTAAGAAACGAAATCGGAGCATGTGAAATAACAGAATAGTCCACAATTGGAGAATGAAGAACCACAGGGACCTCGGAGCTCAGTTATTAATACAGATGCACGGGAATTCAGGTCTCTCGCTCAACTAACCCCACACAGAGATTTCAAATGAAAGCAGCTGAACTCTAGATCACCGTTCATAGTTATATTAGAATCACTTTATTACTGACATTTTTCTCTGATAAGATACAGACTTCTCCTGCATTTAAAGTTTATTTTACAAGCTCCTATTTCGTAAACAACACGGAGAAAGATCCTGTAAGTCACCTTTGGTAAACTGATCCGTTGCTCTGGATTTGCCAACTCCTTCAGCAAACACAGGGTACAGGCTGAACTGGTACTTCTCAATCAGAATGAAGTGATCTGGAAACAGGAAATCAGCCTTTTGAATCAAAACTATTATGCTGCTTTTAAACAATTACCTCCACAGAGGCTCTGGTCACATCTCAGAGTTCAGATCAGCCCAGAGAGGGGAATAATGAAAGATACATACTTTAATATCAGAAGATTAAAACTATTAATCTATACAGGATAAACCAGCATTACTCTGTCATGGAATTAACGCCTTTATGGAACTACTGTAAAAATTTTTCAGATTAAAGCCAAAATGCAAATGGAATGCACATATTAACTTGATAATTAGCTGCTGTACTTGATATTCCAGAACTCATTTTACTCTATTGCCAAAAAATGAACACTCCTGCGCTTCATCCTGTGTTAACGTGATTATTAATGCAACAGTCGATCCTTTACAGTCAGTCCTCTAATGACAATCAAGAATCGCTCTGCCGGCCCTTACCATAAAAGCCATCAGAAACTGGGGCGGCGGGGGAGAAGGAATCTGAACAAAGGAATCAGCTCAGTAACGCTACATTTTTTTGTTCCCTAACAGTTAACATAATGTGTTACATTTTCAAATGCACACTCACCATAAATATAATATTTACTAATATTTGGAGGAACTCGCACCCACTTCATCTCCTCTTCTTTGTCAAGGTTCTTCCATTCAATAATGAAAGATTTTATCACATACATTTGAAGTGAAAGCGTCCAAATCAAAACCACACAAGTGCTGTTCACTGGGTAAGCGCTAAGCGACTCCACAACGTTCACTGACAGGAGGAGGAGAAAACAGCTGTGAATTGCATGAGCTCAGACAAGATGAGAGCTGGGTTAGAGGCGCACGCTATAAACTACATGCACACGAATGACTGCTATGGTTTCAGCACTTTATCATTCACTTGTTTAAGTATCTTCTATATAATAAAGCCTGATCTTTAGCTCACATAAGCAAACATATTTCTGTTTATGCCAGCAAAGCTTGGTTTACACCAACTAGTCCTGAACACAAAATAGATCAAGTTTCTTACCAGACATCAAGTATCCTGATTCTCATGTGCACCTCCTTAACCAAGAAATCCTCAACTACTGCAATGTCAACATTTAGCTAGTAAAACATGCATTGTGAGCCTTGTAAGCTAAATCCTACCGAATCTCTCCACGTAATACACCAAGACAACAATCCAGTTGGACAAACACTTCCCATTACATCTGCTATCAACCAGAAGGTTTCCAGAATACACTTATACACAATACCAGAAAGAATTTTATCCATAAAAGTGTTTTTAAAATTGCGTTAGAGCACTCAAGTTCTACGAATAGACTGCGGTAATGCTTCCCACCGCATGTATTTGCATACAAACGTTACACAACTGATGCATTCAAAAGCAAAAAGCTCAATAGCCTTTGATAACGAAGCCTAGAGCAGCCGGATCAATGAAGAGGCTGCTGAGGAAGCAAAGCCAAACCTCTGAAAACTATGTACTCTGGCAGCCCATCAGGTGAGCCGCCAGAGAAACAAGACCATATTTCGTTTTGGAAACAACAAAACATTCCCTAGCAGGATTGCTGGGTGTTCCCAAGACAAAGTAGATGAAAGATGAGTTCTACAGTAGGATTTCATTTTTCTTTGATTAATTACTTTATATTCTATTAGTGGAAGGAAGACAGCCCAGTGAAAGACAACTCTTTTCCCAACTCAAAGATCATTATGATTTTCATGTGATGGAAGTTTCATTTTTCAAATAGCTCTGCTGGCAAGATGCAGAATCTGTTTCCAATAGACAGCTGAACAGATCATCATAAAACATTTTTATCCTGACAAAGGGAATTTTATTACAAAGAAAGCTTTGTCCAAAAGCATCACAATGATTCCTAACATTCTACACATCTCAGAATGGTTACTAATTGGTGTTCTTACCTGTGCTCATTTGCTGTGATAGAGTTAAATTGAAATTAATTGAAGAAACTCCAATTGAATTCACGGCTAAAACTGTAATGGTATGTGTGCGTTCGGTCCACAGAAATGAAGAGGTAGTGCCATTATCAACAGATTCTGACCACGTGGTGTTTCCTGACGTCTGATGCTTTATAACATATCGGCTCACACTGCACAATGAGTGATTCTTCATCAGTGGCTGCAGCAAACATTGGCATAATTGAATTTCCCAGTCTTTGATTTCAAAAGCAAACATGATTTGGGCAGAAGGCACTATTCCAATTCTAGGAAAACACAACCCAGTAGAGATATTCTATGGTCTGGACACTGTCCTTTTAGCAAAGGCACTGTAGTCCATTTAAACACTTCATTTCTACCATCTCCGAGAGCTGAGACACTCGCTAGCTTTCCAGTGAATGGAGGGCAGGGGAGACAAGGAAATACAAACCTTCAGACTCCTTGAGTAACTCATTGTTTTATGATAGCATTTTTCAGGACTGAAAAACCAGAACAGATGACTGTTTGCATACCAAACAAGGGCAAACAGGAGTGGGCAGTCACTGCTACACTTTTTTATTCTGTCCTGCATTAACCTTTTAACGTGGCTTTGCCCAGTTTACATGCAGTTGCAGTGGTGTTCATACAGGCAGCTGTCTAGGAGTCAGTGGCACATTCTGCTCAGAGATCTTGGTCAGCAGAACTTGGCAGCTGAAGACTGCATCTTGTTATAACTTACAGTCTGATTCCGTGTTACTCCCTTTTTTTCCAAGTATTAGAACAAATTGCATTTTAAGTCTGCGCTTCATAGCGTATAACTAACACTGGAGGTGTAGGCTGATGTGTAACACAGCGCTGACACTTCAGCTGCATTAATACAACCCAGACAGCATGTCTGGTCTCTGCACAAAGGCAAGGAAGCTCGCAGCCTGCCCAGAAATCTGCGGGCTCTCCTGAAGCAGCAAGGACTCTAAGACTTCATGAATAAAAGCATGTTCCGCACGGCTACAAGGCAGCCCCACATGCCATTCAATATGGCTGTGACACACAAAATCGGACCTCAGATGGGTCCACTGTACAAAAACCAGCTCACTTCAGGAGGCTGGCCTGTGAGCTTCTCGAGTCTGGAAACACACCTGCTGCCGGCGTGTGTGTGTGCTGAGCCTCACCTACCTCTCAACCACCCACAGCAACCGCACAGCACTAGGGAAGTTTTTGTCCAGTCACGTTACTATAAACTTGGTAACAATTAGGGTACAAAACCAGCTCAACACATGCCAGCTGGCTGCAGGAAAGATTAAAGAGAATAAAATCAGAAGCATGGGGGAGGAAGCGATAGCAATACAAGCGAGTGAAGGTGAAGACAGGCTGACTGAGCAAAGGCGGCAAAACCATCTCCCACTGCATCGCAGTATTGCGATCAATATTCACCAGCAACCTCAACTTGCCTCCAGTATCAGCCAAGCAAGAGGCAGTAACACAACAGAAGTCACATCCCAAGCGCCTTGCGTACGAAGTCCCATCAGCAGCGATTGCCCAAATTTGCCTCCCAGGGCAGTACGTGCTTATCGTACTCCCTTTTGGTCAATTCTACCAACGTTTTTTGGCTCAAAGTGAAAGGCCAAAACATGATTGTTCTCACCTTCCACAGAAGCGTAACATTCTTCTGCCTCCTTGTCGGATCTTCAACAATAATTCTCCAAAATTCAGGGCCTTGTAAGGGAGCTGCAGGATTACACAGTTTCGAAAGAAGAGTGTCACACTTCAGTCTGAAGCTGGCCAGAGCACCAGAGCACACTCTGAAAGCACATGTACCTTTGATATCTTTTACAAGTGTATTGGCTGATCTGCTCCAGTTGCTCCAGTAACCTGATCCCTCCAGTTCTCTGCACCGGACCTGAACAATATACTCAACACAAAGTTTTTGAACTTTTATCACAGCTGATCTTGTTGGTGCATGTGAAACTTCATAAAGCTGCAACAGAAGGAAAAATATGTAGAGTAAGAACAACAGGCTGGTTAAAATTCCTGAAAATTAATCCAATGAGAAAGCAGCCTGATCAGCAATACTCCTTTGCTAGATAATGCAAATGCTTATAACCAGGATTCACTGCAGACCACAAATTCCACAAAAAACAGCTAACACACTAAATGACATCCCTGCAACAATCCATGCTTCGATTGAGATTAAAAAAGACAGTACCTCCCATGTAACGTCTTCCTTGTTCACAGCATACCGAATCTGAAATTTAAGATCATTGTTTGTAAATATTGGGTTTGTCCAGCTCACGTTCAGCAGCCCAACATTCCTGGTGATTTCTGCTTTAACGTCGGAGGGAGGAAGCGGCTTCACTAGGAAATGGAAAGAAAAAAGAACTGCTATAATGTCTGCACTGACATTTCTCATTAAATCCAGTCATCAGGTTTACTTTCTTCTGTCCTGAAGGTTGCAGGTAACATTCTGCTATTCCAAGTAAAGCTGGACTAGAATGCAAACACAGCAATTCACCAAGCCAGGCTGGCTGGCCCATTCACTGCAGACAGAAGCCTTGCTGACCGAGAAAGGCAGTCTTTGTCTAACAGAAAATTCATTCCAATTTTGACCCAAACCAAAATCACTAAAAAAATCTTAAGTTAAAATATCAAAATCAAAGTTTCTTATAGAATAGACACTTTATTTAAGGAAAAAAAAAAATAATCCATGGACAAGTTTGAGTGCATTTCATTTTAATTTAAGCCACAAGAGCTTATATTGGTGCCAGCACCTGGTACCTCCCTTGGCACAAACAACAGAAGATACAGCCTGGCACTAACGGGGTGCAGCACTGTGGAAAGTAGCAGCACACGGGGCCCAGAAATGCAGCTCCTCTAAAGGACAGTGGCAGGCATGATGCAAGGATTGATGGAACTACTACGTTAAATTTTTATTTTACTAGTAGGAAATTCCACCAAAATTGAGCTTCTCCAGCAGACTGAACACGACTGTCACAAAGCCCTAGTTTGTTAACAAAGCAAAGTTAGAATAAACTTGTTCTGACTAATCAGACGGTGAGTGAGGACAAAACAACAAAACTAATGAAATCAGCTTTAAATTGTGGGTGGTGCTAAAATGAGCAGGTTTTGCTTTACTATCCAAAGCACCTTTCCTCCAGCGTAGGTCAATTCTATTCACTGCTTTATGTTTAAAGCAATGACTTGAATAAACCAGACTGCTAAAGTTCTGCGAGAATTCCTCCCTGGGCAGCATCGTGTAAAGCCACCACCCTTCCCCAAAAGAGCACAGCACACCGAGAGCACAGCCATGCCCTGACAGGGCGGCAGGTTCTCTTGGCAACTCGTCTGAGCAGAAGTGCAGGATCTCCACCCACCACCCCTCACACCACCCTCCTTTCTGATGCCCAGGGCTCCCAAGAATGCCCTGATAATCAGCGAATTTGCTGGTCAAAAAGGAACGAATAGCCCTCTTTGAGCTAGACAGGAGCAACCTTGAAAGCCACATGGCCACCAAATTTATTTAACAGTAATAATAACTCCCATACCCCGCTTTGCTATAATGCACTGAACTTTGCCTTTCCCTCCTGACGTTCATTTTTGCTTACTTCATTTAAACTTCAAAATGATAGTTTGGTTTAATTTATGTTCTCTGTATGCACGCTTCCCCACACACATAATAGATGTATTTTATTATTCTGCTTTATTGCACGTAGTACTGCTGTGGTCTAGCTGCCTTGTTTTCTCTCTACATATGTTCACATTTGTGTCCAAAAAATACACAGTCCAATGAACACTCTGAGTCACAGACCAGATAAAACGTGCTTTGCACATTTTGCAGTGTTTGAAAACACTCACTGTTGCTTTTATACAAATTTAAATGCTCTACATGTCACAAAAGAAACTGTGCAAAAGCATGCAAGAACATGTCCCTATGATTTTAAACGAATATATAACTGCGTGAGCAATACGTAGAGCCCTACACTGTATCAAAGTATAAACCTAACAACTAATTGAAGACTTCAGAAAAATTATATAACCAAGAACCTTAAAAATGAGACTGCATTTTTAAATATAATATTTGCATTTTCTGAAGATGTCTTTGCAAAACACAAGAGGATAAACGTGTAAAACTGGTGTTTCATTTTATAGGTATTAGCTACAGTTACAACCTGCTCCTGTGCCAAGCAAAATGTATGGAAATAACATTTAATCCAATGTCTTTTAGAAGACAATATCAACACTCTTATGTTTTTATGTTCTTTCCACAATCTAATTTATTTAAAATGCTATGAAGAAGTACTTTACCTACACCACATAAGGAATTAAATCCAAGGTCATAAGTGAAGACAGACATGCGTGAATCTTGACCTACCCACATCTGCTGGAACGACACAAGTTGGTGAGGATTCAAGCGTTCCTAGGAAGTGCTTAAACTCGATCCACATGGTATACCCAGATAGAAGAAAAATTGGCTGAAATGTGCACTCGTAGGAATGATTCTTCTGCAAATGGCATTCTTTCACCTCTGATTTTGGAGAAGTACTTGGAAAGTCAGAACAATAAATTTCGCTCCTTAAGAGAAACAAAACCCACGTTCAGTTAATACATTGCAACTATAAGCGCTCATGGCATCAGTGAAATAGACCTCTGAAAGAAATTAAAACAAATGTGTCACTGGAACCATCTGGGGGGTTTTGATGATTATTTGGACAGATCTTAAACTTGAATCTGCACTAAATGGATAAATAACACTGCAGTGGTACTCCTCAAAGCTTTGGCTCTTCGCCTGAAAAAATCAGGGCATGAAGGCTCTCCCCAGTGAAAAATTTTTTTACAAGAGACTAACAGCAGGAAGAAACAGGTATGACAAGAGCAGGCACCTCCAAATACTCATAAATCATGTTGTTTGAGTGGTATGTATTAGCAATAAACACAGCGAGGCAGATCTCCAGCCAAGAATTTACTCCAGTTGGGAATGTGACTTTCAAAATACCAACTGGTGTCCAGGGGAAAGCTGCCACGTGGACTAATCAAACGCATACAGTGAAGTCTCCAGGAGACGGAAATCCCATAAAAATATCAGTTCTAGAGGGTGGCATTAAAATCTCACACACAGTCAGTATCACATCTGGCAACAGGAGACTTGGACTCTGGATAAAATGGCACTGGACACCTTACTGGTGACGGAAAGGAAAGTGTTCAAATGTCTCCTAATTTCCCCCAAGCCTGTGCACAGCTCAGACTTGTGGGGAGAGCGGCCAGATACAGTATTACTTACTCAACTGAACCACAAAAGTTACACTTCGCCGAGTCTCTCCTCTTCCTGTCAACACAGCTAATACTAATGAAACTGGTGCCTTGGGCTTTGAAGGTTTAGCTTAGCACGCTCTGTTTTTACAGGATGATCATTCCTGTGCTGTTTCTGTTGGCAGCACAACCCAACCAAAGCAAAACACCAACGGCAAAGCTATCACACCACATTACTGCAGAGCGTTGGATTTCATCTGTGAAATGTAATTGCATTGGTAACGAAGAATAGCTGTGTGCTCCTGGAAAACCCAACATGCCTGATGTCAATGCAACACATCTCACTCCCAGCTTCCATCGTGAGGACTCACCTATGTCTAAGCAAATACCAGCAACTCTGACGTATTTATGGCGCCTCTCACAACCAAGCTTGGGTTAAAAAACCTGACCATTTCATTTGGTTTCAAGCTTGTAAACGTTCAAGTTCTTTCTGTATTTTTGTTCCCAATATGCGATAGAATGTTATGCAAATGATACTGGTGTTTTCATAACTAAATTTTTAAACGTCTTATACTTCAACTTTTTGGTAGTGACTACATTCATGTGGTCACCCATGTGGGTTTTTTTGGGAAGGGGGGGGTGGGGGTGTTATTATTTTTCCCCTTTCAAATCTTACTATTAACAAACCAAAACAAACCCAAACCCAAAAAGCAAGATCACAATAAATACTAGCATCTGGGAAGCATTTCCAGTCTGCATTAACATTCACTGTTTGATCTTGCAGGAACACTGTAACAAATATACAGATTATCCCCTCCTAATGGAAAATAACATTTTTAGCTAAACCTGAACAGTGAAAAAGTGGGAATAAAAACCATGGCAAGAGCAGCACTGTTTTTATTTCAACCTCCCTGCCCAGCAGTACACTCATTACATTCATATTTGTGAAGACAGTTGAAACAAAGCCTACCTTAGCAGTCAGAACAGTCACTAATCCTGCCCTAAAAGCCTCCACCTGAAATCTCAAGCATTCCTGTCATTACTTTAGTGCAAAAAATCCCAAGAAATATTCACCTGGGACTACCATAATTCAAACCTTCAGTCCACCTCCAACAGAGAAGACAGTCCAGCTTTCCAAAGGATTAGCCCTTCAGGGCTGATTTAAGCTTGTTTGCCAAAACTTTTGCATAGCCAGTCGAGCAGAGCAGTAAAACTGAAGATTTTTTTCTCAGGAAGGATTGTCTGTCTGTATTTATGTAAAGACTAACATGGCTCTAGGAAACTCTCAAGCTCAATACATTAGTAATCCCAAGGGACCTTATAGTTTCATGGCAAAACAACACTACCGCAGGCAGTAATGTGCCCACGACTGAAGATAAAGATGACCATACCATTGAGTTAATAGTCAGTTTTGTATTTTGCAAACAATAATGCGTTTGCTCCACACCACACCCCAGTTCTCCTGCTCTGTCCAAAAGGCAGACAAAATTAAACCAACGATCTGAAAACAAGCTAGGCCAAAACACCTGACCAAAACCACGAAAACTGAGAATTGCTCTAGCCGCCAAAGATGCTGCCTTCAGAAAGCAATATTCCCTTTATGACCTAAGATTTGATTCTCTCTCCATAAGCAAGACTTTTTCCATCTGGAATGAATTAACTTCCATCCCTGTATTTTTTCTTACCATTTGTATACAGAAGAAAAGATACAGAATTACAGAAAAATCAAAGATTGAATGGAGACCTCAAGAAGTCTCAAGTCCTACCTCCGACTCAAAGCAGGGTTAAATTCAAAGTCAGATGAAGTTGCCCAGGGTCCTGTCCAGTCAAGACCCGAAAGTCTCCAAGGACAAAGATTCTACAGCCTCTCTGGGCCAGTGCTCCAGTGCTCAGTCACTCTCACTGTGAATGGGTTTTTTCCCTTATTTCCTTACAATTTGTAGATATGATCAACAAGAATAATAATTTTTATAACTGATACAAGCAAATACATCTACCTACTTCAAGAGAACTGGCTTCCAAACTGCACCTACAGGTTTTACAAATGCTGACAAACATTGTAAATAGATTCCCTGTTACATACTCAGGCATCTACAGTCCCCTTCCTGTAGCGAATACCTCTAGAGTTCCAGTTGGGAAAAAGTCCAGCTTACAGAAACTGAGTACATTTATAACAACATCTATTCAGAATTCTTTGCCGTACAGTATCTCCAGAGCAAGACTTTCCAAACATAAAGAGCATGTTAAAAGCTATACATACCTGTAGTATCTTAGCTGCAAGGAACTCCCTAGGAGCACTGTGTTTGGGTTTGCAGACCATCTGCAAGTCATTTTAGTTAAGTACCCATCTGTTTCACAGGTGATATTAATATTCACATCTAATTTAAACACATGGAAAGTTTATTAATAAAGATATACTTTTTAATACAAAAAACCCCATGCATTATGAGTCATAAGTGGTCAATAAAAGCTAACTGGAGTTTAATATGGAAATATGCTAACCTTACTACTAAAATGCACCAAAATTATAATTTAAAATCATCTGGAATCTTACCTACTACATATAATTCAGCGTATCTATGATGACATTCCCTATTTTGATGACAACAGTATAATGCGTTATAGAAGAAACTTCCTCTAGGTTTTGTTGCTTTCAAGTTGAAAAGAGTAACTTTGCTTACGCGATCATTCACAAGCGTATACTGACTTTCTGGGATTTCTTCTGCTAAGTTCAGCCACCAAACAATCTCCTTGGACGCTACAATCTTGGTTTTGTTTTTATAGATGCAATGAAAGGAAATGTTAGAACCAACACTGGTCAGTATCTTAGGAGGGAAGTACAGGACTTCAGCTACACAGAAGGGGGGGAAAAAAAAAGAAAAAAAAAATCCATTGAGATTAGATCTGAATAAAAAAAACCACAAAAGCATATGTCAATAGAAAAATATTACTATTATTAGTAGCATTGTCATCCAGTTTTATTTCTAAATTTCCTACTTCTTAATTACTATGAACAACTATAGGGGAGAGAGGCAGAAATGAGCCTTCGACTGTCTCCCTCCGTAACCGATGTTTGAAAATTCTGATAAAAATAATCTTTAATATCCTCAGGCAAATAGGAATTAAATGAGCAGAAAATCACTGGAGAGTACAGTGAAAGCAATACACAGCAGCACAAAGGTAACAGGGAATCAGACGGGCTCCTGTAAATTAAATCTTGGGAAACTAGATTAACACTGCTGCTCAGCCCACTTCAAGGCATCAGGTCAGCTCATTTAAATACTGCAACAAGAACTTGCAACCCAGCAAGGGTTATAGCTTCTGTAACTCATCTCACAAACACATACACCACTGTAAAATTGTCCTCAGGTAAAAGTGAAAGAAGAACCAAATAAGAGAAGAGCAATGTTTGGGGTGGTGGTGGGGGGGAATAAAATCTAACCCTTTGAACCCTGCAAGGATGTTGAAATCATGTGCTAGCTGAAGTGTCACTGTAATACTGGAACACAGATCTTGAGAGATTGCTATTCAGAACTGGGGAAGAGGGGACTGAAAACAAATACAAAAAATAAAATAAAATCAAGCTTTCCAGTAGTTACTAGTCCTGCTCTTATTGAAATCAGCAGGAGATTAATGTCTCAAAAACCTGTTTCACAATCTCAGCAGTGTAGTTGATACCCAATGGTAGCAGTGATACAGTAATTCATCTAGGCATAAAGCCACTGAATTTGGAAAGCCTGTAAACATGCATAAGCTCAGCCTCATTCAGTCAGCTACTTAAGGAAGCTACAGGTGTTACACTCCTGCTGAGAAGGAGCAGTTTGTCAAAGATCAACCCAAAGCTAGCATGAAAATCCCTAAAAGGTCAGGTTTGCTTTCCATAGTTGAGCAACCACGTCAGATATTTTTAGGAGTTTTTCAAAATACAAGCCTTCTCAGATAGGAGAGCAGACCTACAACACTGTCATTGTCAAAGACTTTCATGTTAGAGAAAAATCAGAATGTGAAACTGGCCAGCTGCACAAAAACGTAACTGCCTGCTTTCAGCATTTACTCTTGTGCTGTTAATGTGCCTCCGTGAATGCAAGGCAGCATTCC